TACTTATAGAATATATAAAGTCTTTTATAGTCTAATTACTTTAAAGCTAGTTATAGTTGTAAGGGGCTGCGCTCCGTAGAGCAATCGCGAGGTATACAAGAGGTTGTATTCGATAGAGAACTAAGCTCCTAAGCTACGCAGCTATCTATATACAATGCTAGTTGCCCGAGTAACAATTAGGCTGATAGAATCCAGGTGCTCAAGGTAGCACCTAGGTTCTGCGAGTAGACCGAGATTCTATCGAGGAGCTATCTAAAGGGCGTTCAGCCCGTTACAATACCCCCCTGTTTATAGTAATACTACATCACCTCTCTAAAACCCCTCTAGGAGGCGGCCCTCGCTGTCTCGTTCAGCCTCTGTAAATGCTTCCTAACAATCTACTGCCTCAGCGTCCTCGAGTAGCTCCGCTAGTTCAAGCGTTGTTCAGTAAAACCCTTTCCACTTTACCTCGTAATATAGCTTACGCCCTCTCCCGCGGCGGCGTACCTCTTCTGCTACAATGTCTTCTATTTCCTATTTATCTTCTCCCTCTACCCGCAGCGGCTGTAGTTAATAGTCGTCCTAAACTTAGTTTAGAAGCGGGTCGTTGCTAGCAAGTTTTAACTAATTAACATAAAATACAGAGTGTAGGCCTAGGGGCGTGTCTAGTTTAACTAAGTAGCTGTCGATTACCTTTACTACTGTGTACTTAGCGTTCTTCTAGTCGAGCTTCTTTAAGCTTTGCCCTATGCTGTATTGCTAATCGAGCTTTAGCTATACCTTGTCGCCTACTTAGTAGCGCTGTGCCTCCCTCTAAGTCTTGTTCGCCTGTCTCTCTTGTTCTTGCTAGGCGACTGCTATTCCTGCTTAGGCTAGCTCTACAGCTTGTTGTAGCTTAAGCGCGATCTCTGCTGCTTTTTGTTCGTCTGAAAGCTGTTTAGCAAGCTTTCGCAGTCCTCTCCTGTTGCTTATCTTAAGCTGTAGAGGCTCTACTTTATAGCTGTGCTAAAGAAAGAATAGTAATATCCTTGTTAACGTTGCGTTTCTTCCGTTAATCGCGATCTGAGCTATTAGGCAGAGTCGTGCCTAGTCGTTCTAAGCCTAATTCGTAAAGGATTAGATATAGGCTTCCTAGACGCTGTTTATTCTCTCTGTAGCGCTGTTAGTCTGTAGGTAATAGGCCGTTAACAGTCTCTGTTTAATCTTTAGGAGCTCGCACAGTCTAGCCTATAGAACGCTCACAAATTAGCTACCCCTATTAGACGTAATAGCGTCTAGCAGCTAGTAATATGCAACTACGCGTTCGATAAACTTTTAGACAACAGTTTCTGTCTTTATATTTAGAAGTAGTACGAAAATCGTGCCCTTACTAAGACGATTAGTAATCACTATTAGACTAGTTATGCTGTCGCTCTCTAGCAGTCCTTTAACAAAATCTATAGAGAGCTCCTTCTAGACCTAAGTAGGTATTAAGAGTAGTTTTAAGAGGCCTTGCGTGCCCTCTCTCTATAACTTGCTCCTTCTGCACGTGTCGCAGTTTCTAACGTATCTTCAGATCGAGTTTGTTATGCCTAGCTAGAAGTAGTCCCTCGCGAGTATCTTGTACGTTAACTCGCGGCCTAGGTGGCCCGTAGCTAGTAAATTATAGGCGTTGCTAATAACCGCCGTTCTTAACTCGTCGCTGTCTAGTACCTACTTGCGTCCTTAATAGAATAGGACTCCCTCTTCGACTAAGCAGTCTTTAGTTAAGCACTTTAGGCCTAGGCTTACTAAGAACCGCTGTTCTTAATCCTCTATCGCCTGCTTTGCTCCTTAGTAGACCTAATCCTTCGCTGCTGTCCCCTGCTAGAGCGTTTCGAGCTTATTCTGCTCCTTTCTTAATTCTTTAACATAGGGCTGCTCTAAACCCTCTTTAGTAAGGTAAGCAGCCTCTTCCTCCTATTAGTGTTGCGCCTCGAGCTTGTCTAACTAGTCTTCTAACAAACTAGCTGCCTCTGTTTCTCTCTAGCCTCGTAGCCGCATTATTATTACTAGAGTCCTGCTATCTAAAGCCTCTTTAATTAACTCCTCGTAGTAGGAGTTCGTTAGCTTAAGTATTTGTACAAACTGCTTTTGTAAGCGTTTGTCTTCTGCCCTTTTAAGCAGGTCTTGTTCTCTTCTTAAGAGCGCGTTAGCTCTTACGTTCTCTTTGCTAGGCTAATACAACAGCTCTAGGTTGTACCTGCCTAGAAGAAGCAACTATCTTATCTAACGCTTGTTTAGCATCCTAGGCTTTATAAAGTATTCTAAGTTCTTATAATCTGTAATTACTTTAAACTTCTCTACTAAACGCAGTTTAGAGTCCTATTCCTCGAGGCATCGCACTACTACAAGTAGCTCTTTATCGTAGATCTTGTAGTTACACTCGTGTGCGTTATTCTTCTGTAAGAAGTACGCACAAGGCCGCAGGACTCTATTATCGTCGTACTGCGATAGTACTCCACCCACTGCGTAGCCGCTCAAATCGCATTCGAGCACTGTTTTACAGTCTAGGTCGAACGCTGCTAAGGAGGGTTCTGTAACAAAGATCTCCTTTAGCTTCTTAAAGGCTAATTGTTCTTTAGGACCCTATTAGAAAGGGACGTCGCTTGTTAGCCTTATTAGTAGCGCTAATAGCTGCGAGAAGTTCTTAATAAACCTTTAGTAGAAGTTCGCAAAACTAAGAAACGATCTTACTCTCTAAACTGTCTTCAGCGCCTCCTATTCGCGGATTGCGGCTACTTTCGCTAGGTCTATGCTTATTCCTTTACTAGCTTCTATCACGAACCTAAGGTACTTTGTTAACTTAACTTCAAACTCGCACTTTTTAATATTAACCTGCAGGCTAGCAGCTTGTAGCTTGCTAAGCACCTTTTAGACGTGTTCTTAATGTTAGTTTAAGTTACTGTTAGAATAGATTAACACGTTGTCTAAGTACGCTAAACAGAAGTCGTTAAGGTGTTCTCTTAAAGTCTAATTAATGTAACGTTAAAACGTACTTAGGGAGTTCGCTATGCTAAAGAGAGTAACTAGCTACTTAAATAGTCTAAACCTCGTTTAGAAGGCTGTCTTCTATTTGTTGCCTAGTGTAACGCAGATCTTATAAAACGCTGCGATAACGTCTAGCTTCGTAAACTACTTAGCCTTGCTAATACTGTTAAGCGTCTCTTAGATAAGCAGAAGGAGGTATTAATCTTTTCTTGTAATTGCGTTTAAGGCTCGATAGTTAATACACAATTAGAGTCCTCCTCTAGGCTTCTTTACAAACAGCACTAGGGCAGCGGCTAGTAAGCTGCTTACACAGATAAATCCCTTTTTAAGCAGCGACGTAAGTTCCTTCTATAGAACTAATAACTCGCCTCTTAACATGCTATAGAGAGGCCCCTATAGTAGCTAAGCATCCTTTAGTTCTAGCTCAATCTTATAGTCTACTCCTAGACCTTAGTAAGGTAGGAGCTTCTTAGCTTCCTTTAGGTTAAAGAGCTCGTAGAACTCCTAATACTGCTTTAGTAGCAGTGCACGCACGTCTACTAGCTTCTTTTTCTGTAGGGCCTTGTTAATGTCTGCTATTAACGCAGCGAAGATCTAAACGCTGTTTAGAGCGTTCCTGTGTCTGCGGAGTAATACCGCGAACGTAGCGGCACCTACTTATCAGACTCCTCTCTATAGGGTCCCTTCTATAGATCGCACTTAAATGCCCTTTAAGTAGATAAAGATGCTCTTCTTCGCGGGGGCTATTAACACGTTATAGTAGTCTATCTACCTCCTTCCTAGATACACGTCCTTATCTAAGGACAAGTTCATCACGTATGCATAGGCAGTCTCTTCGTACCCGTGCAGTTTAAACGAGAATTAGGCGACTTCGTTAATCTCTAATAGCTTACTATTCACTCCCTTAATTATCTAGGCGGGGATCTAATAGCGCTCTAGACAGTAGCGGTAGGCGAACTTTTTATTAACTAGCGCATAGCAAAGGCACCTACAATTAATTAGTGCTGTAGCGTTTACTACGTTGTTCACAATTAGATCTATCGTAATTAGTAGGGGACGCATATGCTCCTGCTAAAATTAACTCTATTCGCTGCTTATCTGCTAATCTATCTTTAGAGGCTCTAAGCTAAGACTCTAGCTTAGAGCTCCTCTTTTCCTAAGTCGCTGTCTGTTAGTTCCTTAGCCTCCTTCTAGAGTTTCTGTCCTTCGCCTGTAGGAGTACCTCTCGCTCTCTTAACTCGAGTAGTGTTTAGACAGCTCTTAGCAATATAACCTAGCTCTCCACAGCTGTAGCAGTTAAGCAGTAGCTGTCTTAGCCTGCTTCCTACCTCCCGCGCTCAATTAATCTTTAATAGCTCCTAGTCTATCGCTTCTAGGTTAGCTTCTCGCTAAGCGGCTCTCAAGTAGTTCTGCGCGTCGCTATAAGCCGCGTTCCTTTAGTTCCGCCTATGTAGCTAGATCTAGTACAGGTCGTTAGATAGCTCGATTGCCTTGTCTATGTATTCCTTCAGGCTTCTGTTCTTTAGAGTATAGAGCATTAGCTTCTAGAGTTCTTCTCTAAGGCCCTCGCTAAACATCTCCTAAGCTACTGCTAGGCTAAACTGTTAACAAGATTCTACGCGAAGCTAGTTAAACTCTAAGACGTAATCGCGTATTAGCCTCCGTCCTTGCTTCAGGTGCCGAAGCTTATTTAGCGCGCGCTGCTGCTAGTGTACGTCCTAGAAGTGGGTATCTATATGCTTCTACAGGCTGATGACCGTTCGTTCCTTGTTCTCGAGTACCTAAGGGAGAAGGACCTAGTTCGCCTTGTCTTTCGTTCGGCTGAGCACGTATCGGACCCTTGCGTCCTCTGTTGGGAACATAGCATAATCGTACTCTAGCTTCCCTTTACACTCAAATTTCTAGCCTAGGTAGTTACCTCGTGTCCTGTCAAAGCGCTCTAGGTCGGGAAACTTGTTCTTGCGGACAGCTGGCTCGGCGACTGGTGTCGACAGTGGCGGAGGGGTGTTGGCTCCTAAGGACGGCTCTGAGCGTCCTTCAGCTTGACTCCGCTCGAGTGCTTCCAGACGACTAGCTATCGGGCTAAGCAGTCGCATCATCTGCTGCATCATCTGGGCCATAGCGTCCTGATTGCCCTTCGGCGAGTCTCCTCGTCTTAGCGAGCCTTTCCCTCCCACGACTGATGATCGTTTGACAACCGCTTCAATTGTTGGCCCGACCGCTGCCTCCTTCCATCCGTCCTCTCTCAGCATCTGTGTAATTTCGCGCAGGATCTCTTCGTCTGAGACTCCTGCCTGGCTCTTAGCAGTAGCGTACGCCGCTAGCTCTTCTACGTTCAAGTTCGGAACGTTAATCTCCATAGCCGCTTTTAGTCTACTCGCGTAGCCTTAGACTGCGGCCTGCTCTTCGTCAGCAAGGGCTAGTAGGGCTTCCGTAGCCTGTCACTTGTACAGGGCTTCTCTAGCTTGCTCTCGATAGCAAGACTTCCCCAAACGACTTACGGTGTCGCTAAAACTACGAGAGACCCGCGTCCCTCCGCTCGCGATACTCGACTGCCTAGCTTAGCAATTAATCACGGCCTATGCCTCGTTCAATAGAGGACTGATAGGACTTCAGACGACGCTCGCTCGTAGCTGACTCTCAGCTGTAGCGCAAGGTCGTTGCCTGTTCCTCAATCCTTAGAGGACTAACAGGGCTTCAACTGCTATCGCTCACACTCTAGCGATCGTTCTTGCGAGTAGCAGGACCTACACCTCAGTACTATTAAGGTATCGCGTAGGGCTTTCCTCCGAACAGTATCTCGCACACAGACTAGAGTCCACTAGCTGCCCGATACACGCTAAGCGCTAGCGTCACGCGAGGCCAGTCACTCGTTCGACTAAGCGTCTTGCGAAGCTACAGTCCTAGGCTTGCGATCTCGTAATAGCTTGTGCCTAGTTGTTGTCTAAAGGCCTTTCGTGTCTTCTGACAACACTAATCCCGTACGGCGGGTTAACCTACTCGCACGTAACAAAGAGGCGGTCAAGAAGCTTAACGCGCGTCGCGTTGGCAGAGTCTTATAGCAAGGCTCTGCTGATTGAGATCGAATACAAAATGTAAGGGGCTGCGCTCCGTGGAGCAATCGCGAGGTATACAAGAGGTTGTATTCAATAGAGAACTAAGCTCCTAAGCTACGCAGCTATCTATATACAATGCTAGTTGCCCGAGTAACAATCGGGCCGATAGAATCCGGGTGCTCGGGGTAGCACCCGGGTTCTGCGAGTAGACCGAGATTCC